TTCTTGTCTCTATCTCAGGCTCCTAGACTCAAGCCTGTACCCTGCAAAATCTAGTCTTTGAAATAAATCCCGTGTCAGTTATGTACACATTAGTATGAATTAATGGATAACTCCTCGGCCAAGAGGATTTTTAGTGACATCTTTCTGGATGGAAATTGTTCTGAAATGAGACATGTGTCCCCCATGAAAGGGATTTCAACTCAGGGTCAGCAGGTGGTGTGGACGTTAAGGTGCTGGATCCCACATGGCCAATTCTGTGGTTCAAATCTCAGAAGCGGTGACTTACAAATCATTCTGGGTGCATGTGCCTACAATCCCAAGAGGAGACTGGAAGACAAGGGAGAGCTACATTGTAGCTACTCCTCCCTGGGGGTGATTTTTCACTTTCCCTCTCTCTTTTGTCTCTGGTGAGTGCACGCACCCTATGTCCAAAATATATATATATCCTCAGGACCAGCAGTTGGTATAATGGCTATGTTGCTCAACTCCCATGTAGTCGACCGCAGTTCGAGTCCCGGACCCGGTGGCTTAAACTCACGCTGGGCGCGTGTACGTGCGTGCCCAAGATCCCGAGAGGAGAATGGAGGAGAAGGGATTGCGGCGTGGCCATCCCCCCTAGGAGGTGATTTCTCGCTTTCTGTCTCTCTATCTCTCTCTGTCTTTCTGGCGAGCACACACATCCTATAGCAAAAAAAAACTTAAATAAAAAAAAAGAATAAATGAATAAAGGAATTTCAACTTGATCTCAAAGGTGAAGAAGCGTTGAGGTAGGGGCACACAATGCTCCTACAGACCGGAAATCTCACAACTTCATCTGCCGCTACTGTTCCCAGTCTAGATTAGGTGTACGGTTTCCCCGCTGTGTTCTCACTCTCTGCCGGGATTTAGAATTTAGTTAAATCACCTTTCTGATTCATCTAAGAATCATAAGCTTTCAGGTGTTGTGGGACCTTGGAGAGCTAATAATCCAACCTCTCAGCTTCTAGATAAGAGACAGAAACCCAAAGAGAGAGAAATGACATGCCCAAGATCCCACGGCAAGTTACAGCAGAGCTGAGGCCTAGCCCCGGGGTTTCTAGCTCCCAGCAACGTCCCTCTGTACAATGCCATGCCAAGATCCAGGAATAACTTTTTGTTTGTTTGTTTTGAGAGGTTTTTGCTATATGGCACGTGTGCTTGCCAGAAAGGCAGAGAGAGACAGAGAGAAAGCGAGAAATCACCCCCCAGGAGGGATGGCCATGCCGCAATCCCTTCTCCTCCATTCTCCTCTCGGGATCTTGGACACACACGCACATAAGTCCAGTGTGATTTTAAGCCGCCGGGTCCGGGACGCGAACCGCGGTCGACTACATGGGAGTCCAGCGACATAGCCATTACGCTAACTGCTGATCCCCCCAGGAATAACTCTTGACCACGTCAGCACCATTTGCAAAGTGAAGCCCAGGTAGAAGGACACAGGCAGCTTTTGTGTTGCTTGAGACGAATATTCCTAGAAGCATTTGATCTCGAAAAAGAGGCCTATGGGACCTCCCTTGTGGTTGCAGGGTCTGGAGAGTCCTGAAAATGCTCGCTGTTGTCACTGTCCAAGCCAACTCTTCTGAATCTTGCAACGAGGGCCTTTAGTTTTGTTTTCCAAGCAGCCCAGAGCCCCTCACTCTTAGAAAGGAGACCTTCGGCCATGCTCACCAAGCCAGCTTTCTCAGTTCTTCCTCACCAGATGTCACGAGGTCCCTCATCTA